ATCCCTAAAATTTTAACATATAGAATGCCCTCATTGTTTTTAGATGAAATTTATCCTAAAAATAAAATCAGGGTAGCCCATGATTACATTAGGGTATGAAAATATACTAGTAAACCAAAAGACTGGATGAAGACAATGGCAATATCATTAAAAATACCTTCATTTTTCAATTATGACCCATTTTTCCTTTTACTTTTCCATATGCAAAATAGTTATTTTATCCCAAGTTCTGATTCCTAGATTACTCAAAAAAATAAAATTGTCTGTATTTCTTCATAGCAAAAAGAATTAAGAGAATTAAATCACATCATTATCATATTACTTTATATAGAACATTTATAAAATTATGCTTTTCTCCATATCATCAATAAATACACTGTAATCTCATAATCTTTCCAGAAGCCAAGAAGGTTGAGCATTAAACATTTTTATAATATCAGTCATCTGTAATACATTAACTCAGTAAATACACCAATCATTTTTCATCATCACTGGTAAGATACTCTCCAAGGACTCAAATTTTCACTAATCCTAGCTATAAAATTAGAGGTAACTTTTTCATCTACTTATTTGGGTTTTTTATTATTATTATTTTGTTTTGAAATCAAAGTAGGCAGATCAGCTTAGTATAGTCCTCCAACATTTAGGAAAATATACTATCAGTCAAATTAGACTTCTAATCTACCAGTTCTACTTCAAAAAACTCTCATGCTTTTTTACTGTGAAGTTTAGGAAAATACTTTATTTATAAGTGAATTTCTCCTCTTAAGACACTTTTTAGGGCAAGTACATTTTCGACTTGTTATAAGAGTCTAATATGAGAATAAAATGGAGACAAATATCAAAATAAATCATTTGCAATAGGAAAAATACAAAGACAATATCAATAAATGAACTTAAATATGCATGCTAAACCTATATGGAGCTTCAAAATTAGAATCTATAAATTTAAGTATCTAGTTTCAAAAATAAAAACAAAACAAAATAACATATCTTAAAACACATATGTAGAAAATGAGACAAAAAAGAAAAAATCATTTTCTATATAAGCTCATTAGTTACTTAAACTGAACAGAAGGAATGAGTATGTGGTATTGCTGGTAGACAAGCCAATTTATCACTCTGGGATGTTTACACAAATCTCATTAAAAAAAAAAAAAGTAAAGAAAAGACAGAAAGGAAAAGAAAAGCAGAGACAGGTTTGGTAAAGAGTTTTCTAGACTTCATTCTAAATATAGTAAGGGTTCTAAGAAACAAATTAGAGTACAATTATAAACTATAATTGCAGGCTCACTTTTACTCATATAATATTTAAAAATTATGGACACCAAAGGACATATACAAGTGATAATTTTAGACACCTGATTCTTGCTTTTTAACTGGCAATCAGCACTAGGCCCAACATTTGAACTAGACCTTTGTGTCCACTTTTTTAATTATTCAAATGTATTAGGGTTAAACATATTGGCTAAGACAAATACTTGGTTTTGTAAAAATAGCCTTGTTGTTTGAACTTATAATTAAATTATAAAGGGCCAGACTGGCTATTACAATGACAAAAATTATATGCTATGCAATTGTTGAGACCACACTCAGAAAACAGAAAACTTAATTCATTTAAAATAAAAATAAAATAATCCAAAAATAAAAGATTTAATTTAACTTTAATTCTAGTTGAGTAATGAAATTCTTTTGATAGAGAGGGAAAATCTGCTTTCAGTTCCAAAAAGTCCTTCTGGAACAATTACCTAGACTTGACACTACAGAGTTTCATTGAAAGCTGACAAAATTAACTATTCCCATCTCCACAAGACTAAAACAGAAATCCTAAATTAGAAAATCTTAATAATTGGATTCAGAAATAAAAATATCTAAACAATTTAAGTCAAATAATACTCTAGCCTCAGCTATTTAGACATCTGGGCAAGAGTAGTTTAGACAATACTGTCCTAGATATTCATGGATTTCAGATGGGGTCTGGTCAGATTTTACCATTTAAAATATATATATGATTGTGCTACTAGTATTTACTATGTGTTGTGGACTTCACTTAGTAG